TCTCTCTCTCTCTCTCTCTCTCTCTCTCTCTCTCTCTCTCTCTCTCTCTCTGTCCGATACTTTTTCGTCGTCTTCCGAAGAGGTTAGGGGTTAGATTTTATACCCTAAGATCAGGGGTAAAGCTGAAAGACAGCAGTGAGGAGGAACCAATGAGTAGAAGTAGCAAGGCAGCAGAAAGGGTCAGGAGCCCAAAGGAGAGGGCAAAAGAATCCGAGGGTGCAGAAAGTGGAGACGAAAGCAGACAGCAGAGCATGATTAGAGAGCAGGAAGGGAGGTGAATAAAAGAGAACATTATTCTAGGGAAGAAAATTTCCCGTCGCTTTCTGGTTTCGAACCTGGAACCTATTGAATAAGAGGCGAACGCCATGATACCTCTGGACCACGAGAGCTCCAGTTTATATGTTTGTGATTGTGTGAGTGTGTGTGTGTGTGTGTGTGTGTGTGTGTGTGTGTGTGTGTGTGTGTGTGTGTGTGTGTGTGTGTGTGTGTGTGTTTGTGTGTGTGTGTGCGTGTGCGCGCGCGCTGTGTGCGTGTGGGAGTGTGAACAAGTATACGAATGAGTGAGTAAGCACACGTTGTGTTGGCCTATACCGGTACATTGTGCGTAAAAGAGCTGTATGCTGGAGTGGTCGTAGGTCAGCACTAAGAAATACTAATGAATGGAGGAAACTCACTCAGACAGAAATTTAGACAGTCAGGCGTTACGAAATCAAAAATCTTTCATTCAATATTCGACAGAAGCAAGGACTTCTAAGATGTGAAAAGTTTGGACGATAAGATTATCAAATCAGGCCTGCTAAGAGTGCTGTGACCCTGTGTAAAAGGGTAAGGGGGGGGGGGGGATCGTTGTCTTGTAAAACAAAATTTGTTGTGCCACAAAGTTCTTCTTTGGCTGTTCCGCTTTTTGTAGTATTTTTTTTATCCCCACATAGAAGAGGATAGTGGCCATTGAAGTCACATGCGATTATTGTTTAGGTGAAAACAGAATCTGGTAGAAATGAAAACAGCCATTTCGAGGTGGTGGGGCGGGGGGCTGCAGATTTTTTAAGATTGTAAATTTGCAACCTGCACACCAAATTGTAGCTTTCTGGGTGTCTGTTTCTGTGTCAGTTGTTTATGTTCTCAACTTTTCCTTGTGTGTCATTTCTAATGTAGATGATTACACTCTGACATCAGAGCATTTGCAGACACATTGGGTGTAACTTTTGATACTGGTGAAATGTACTGCGGCGAATAGTGTCTCGAAAAAAACAACATAGATTTTCTTTGAGTTCAAAAGATGAGATTTCCCCCCCCCCCCCCCCCCCCCCTCTCTCTCTCTCTCTCTCTCTCTCTCTCTCTCTCTCTCTCTCTCTCTCTCTCTCTCTCTCTCTCTCTCTCTCTCTCTCTTCTCTTCTCTTCTCTTTCTCCTTTTTTTTCTAGGCTGATTTGGAGTTGTCTTGATTATTCTATTTCCCCCGTGGCTAACTTTTCTTCAGCAGCCTGGGTGAGCACTGCCTGAGGCGGGGTTGTTAAATGAGGCGTCGCTCGTGCTCGGGTGAATTCCTTGTATTTTTTTCTGCCATAGATCTAGATCTATATCTAATATTTGCTGGGGAGCCTGTGACTACAAACAGTCGGGGAAATCTGACAATGACCTTCCAGCTAGCAAGTGAGGCAACACGCCGTACAGGAACTGGCTTCCCTTTTTTTCATGTGGTCACGGCAGGGTCCACTGTGGTCCTTTCCCCGCCATCGCTGTCTCCTGGCTAGCCGAGGTAGGATAATTATAATTCTTTAATGTCGTCTGACTCAGGCAGGATTGTTTGGCCAATTTCATATAGACGAGCAGCTTGTCACGTCGTGGATCCTTTGCACTTTTTGTCGGTGCGAAGACGTCCATGTTTTGGCATGCCATGTCTCCGAGATCTGAGGGATGTGTGTTTTCATCTTTGCAGGCACGAGAAGAATCATAGAAAAGATGCGCCAGGCCGAGGGTACTTTACAAACCAACCACAAGAGGGTATGAAGTAATTTTAAGTTTTTGCACCTCGTGAGGCCACACTTACTTCCAATGTGTTATTGCCCTTTAGGCAAAAAAAAAAGGGTGAGGGGGGGGGGGGGAGGAGTGTTGACGCCAATTATATATTCGCCATTTGCCAGAGCCACGTCAGAAAGAACTGGGATCTCCTCGGGCAGGTGCTGTTGGCTGGATTGGGAAAAGCTGTTGGGGACGCTTGAGTATTTGTTGTCCTTTAAATGAGACCCTTCACCAACCCTTGATCCCCACTCTCTCTCTCTCTCTCTCTCTCTCTCTCTCTCTCTCTCTCTCTCTCTCTC